TTTAACCCATAAGAGCCCAGACCCATTTTTCCAAAAAGTTTTGATGGGTTAAAATCAGACAAAAAGTTTTGAAAAAAGATACTGGGGAGTTCAAACTGTTTGTTACACTGGTGTCACTGTGGGCTCTTATGGGTTAAAAAACAACAACAACAAAACAAACGTTATGGCCAACCAACCTTTTCAAAGATAATGGCCATCTTTTGATTTAACTAACCAGGGAGCGGTTGATTTTACACTACAATACAAACAATGGTAGTGCCAATAAAGTCTCAGCGTTATTTTGAAAGTCATTGCGTGGATGTATCTGATGTGGTCGCCGATGACTCTGTTGCAAACACAATTGTGAATTAGTGGAATTGAAAGGCAACTTACCCTTACCATCACTCAAATACTAACGTTCAGTGATGAAGGGAAGTTGTTCAAACCACTTTTACTGGTCGATAAGAGACTGCAGATGCATCCTCATTTTGCTCTTCCTCTTTGAACTATTGATAAGCACCAACCAGCTGAGGACAAACTTTAAAATATTAAGACTAGGTTGCACTCACTGATCCTACGCCAGCGTTTTGTTGAAAACCGCTTTCTCTCACTGGGTGCTTCTTGGAAATGCCGCTCAAGCACTTTGAGGAAGTTCCGTCTCCACAAGCACACTCGGTAATGACTTGGCTTTGCGCCCTCCCGCCTCTCTGCAGGTTTGAACTCCATCTTCTTCGCCATCAACATAGACAACAGCGACCTGAATGGGGGGCCGACGAGGGGCGGCGCGTCCACCATGACGCACCTCCTCAAGGAGTCCACGCAGGGCATCGGCAGCCTGTGGAAGGAGTCCACGCAGGGGGTCAGCAGCCTGCTTCGAGAGATCAGCACCGCCACCGTTGTGGTGCCGGGATTCTGCCCGAGGGTGGATGGAGCCTCGGACCCACTACCTGTCCTGCCGCGTAGCACCTCTGCTGGTAAGCTCCACTACGAGTTTGGAAATATGACACTCTGGAAACGTTTTTTTTCCCGTACAAAAGAATTTTGCGAGGAAAAAAAAGTCATTTTGTTCATACTGTCAGTGTAAATCTGACAGAAATACCGTATTTTCCGCACAATAAGGCGCACCTAAAAGCATTCCATTTTCTAAAAAGCCGACAGTGCGCCTTGTAATCCGATGCGCCTTATATGTTCAGATTCTGATTTCTCGGACGTAGTATTTTAAATGGTCCGTAAAGCACTTTGTTACAGCTGCAGCGGTTGTGAAAGGTCTAACTCAATAAAGCTGTATTGTATTGTATTCCCTTTAGCGTAGCTCCATCTCGTGGATGCATAACGCAATCTCAGTTGCGCCCTATATATGAAGAGAGTTTTAAAACAGGCTATTCATTGAAGGTGTGCCTTATACTTCGGAGCGCCTTATCGTGTGGGAAATACGGTACATTAGGATGACAAAAAAAAAAACTCATCCCTCCCGGTCCTATCTTGTACCGCTAATTAGAATTGTAGGAAGCCACCATCCCCAAGAACGAAGAACTGATCAAGAAGGCGTGACTGAAAAGGTGTCAATTATATTGCCGTTCACTTGCTACACGCTCGTATCCAGCATACCCCTGCCTTGTGCTGACCTGTTATTGTTGGCTTCAGTAGCTTTGCTGAATCTATGGTGGAATATCCAGATTTCTTTGGGGGGGGAATAACGCGAAAAAAAAAGGACATCTTCATATTGTAAATCTGCCTCATCCGAAATGAATACTTACATTCACATTGGATATTTACCAATGCGAGTGTAGCGTAAATGTTGCCAAGTAGTGCCCTCCGTTTTTTCCGCAATTATTTTCAAACAATATTTATCAACAATAAATTACACACAATTGCCAGAACTTGCAACCATCAACTCATCGAGTAATCCAATATTCTGCCCAGGCTTGACTCAAAGGCGCCTCAACCTTGAATGGAATCACCGTGGATAAATCAGACCACATGAATTTTCCATAGCTCAGGCCTTTTTTTTTCATGCTCCCAAGCACACTGAAGGTTTTTCCGCATGAGCAACACTTTAGTTCTTTTTTTTTTTTTTTAGGCCATGCTGCGGTTTTTGTACCAATTCCTCGACTTCTCAAATTATGTGATAAAATCTTCTTATTTTTATTGTGATAATGTAGCCGTTACAGTGACTGTGTAATTATTTTAAAAACATGACTGATCATTCTCCCAAACACGTTTTTTTAAGGGTGAAACATTCATCGGTTGAACATAATGTTCTCATTAGACTTCACTATGTCCCGAAAATGAATCATTTTACATGATCCAGTAGAACCCCGTAACTTATTTGCCGAACCGAATCCAAGAAGTGAAAGTTTCAGCGCATTCTATACATGTGGCTAGTCGCATGTGACTTGTCTTCTGACATTCATTTGCAGACATCTCAATCTCCAAATGGCGCAGCGGTTAGTGAACTCCCCAATGAAGCGTCTAACCTTCCAGAACTTTTGTGTTTGACCTCATTTAGCCGTCTGCCCTGTTCCATTCCACCGGGCCCGGCTGACACCGTTTCCTCCTCCGTGTGTTCCATTTAGCAGCTCGAGCGACGCTTCAAGTTTTAACTGTGCGGTTGAAAATGGAGGTCCACAATTCTTGCGAATACACAGGAGAGATTTTAGGCTCAGAAACTGAAGTGTTTTTTACAGTTCGGAATGTGTTTTTGTCGGAGGGAACATCTGAAGCTAAATGGTCCAGAAGTTGTGAATTGGTCTTCCAAGTAACATAGGCTTGAAAGCACTTTCACTTCACTCACGTTTGAATTTCCGCAGATTCCGGCCTAAGGAAGGAGCGGCGGAGGAAAAAGAAAATCACCAACATCATTTCTTTCGACGACGATCTGGACGGAGGGGCTGAAGACGAGGAAGAGGGCGAGGACGACTTCCCCAAGACTCGTGGAATGAGCAAGAGGCAGACCGATCCCGTTCCAAGTAGCGTGGAGGATGGGATTGACCTCTTGGAGCCATTGTTCCATCCGTCACCTTCTCACAATGGGCTGGACGGCACCGCGACACCGACGTGGGTGGGGTCACCCCATCACTCTCGTACAACCCCGATGCCGACGCCTCCTTTGACAGACCGAAAGAGCATCGACAACG